GTAGGTGTATGTGTGTGTGTATGTGTGTGTGTATATGTGTGTGTATCTCTCTCTCTCCCTCTCTCTCTCTCTCTCTCTCTCTGTGTGTGTGTGTGTGTGTGTGTGTGTGTGTGTGTGTGTGTGTGCTTATTTCTAATGTAATTGTATGGTACTGTATGGTTTGCTCATACTATACTACGCTATACTATGCATGGCTATATACGTGTGTACGTTTGTTCGTATGGAGGTACGCTACGTATGTATATTATATTTCCGTGTGTATCCATAAACCAGTGACACTAATAATATATCACTTCCCTCACCCCCCCCTCATCGTGTCACACGTAGATATAACACAGAAGGTCACAGAGGCGTGGACCACCACACTACAGTTTTTGTCTGACATTTGTCGCTCACAGACTGCACGGCCTGAATGGAAAGAGCTGAGCAGGAATTTTTCGATTGGCTGCGTTTTCAGAGTTCCCGATTCGCTATTTCGACCTTTTGAAGGGGAAAGATTTTCTATTTAAAAAACACAAAAACAAAAAACAACAACCAAAAACCAACAATAAAAGACAAAGCAAAAAATAAAAAATAAAACTCCCAATAAAAGTAAGAAAAAACAAAACAACTTTTTTTGCTGCTACTCATGTCATTTTGCTCTTAAGAAAATGCTTTTCTTAAGAAAAAATGAAAAAAATGAAAACGCAACTAAAATAAAATGCTACTCATTTCATGTTGCTCTCAAGAAAAAAAATGCTTTTCTTAAAGAGAATGAAACAAACAAAATAAAAATGTAAAAAAAAAAAAAAGAAAAAGAAAATAAAGCGCTACTCATTTCGTGTAGCTGTTGAGAAAAGATTTTTTCTCTTTAAAAAACAAAAAACAACCTCAATAAAATTCCGCTAGGCGGCTCACTTTCTGTAGCTGTCGAGAAGTCAGAATGTGACGGCAGTCAAGCGTTGCTATATTGAAACTGCGATGTTTGGGCTACAGATATGACGTGTGACTTTCTGCTTCGTGTGTGTGTTCGTATAGATGTGGGAACTGTCATAAGAGGAGGGTGTTTGTTTGGTTTTTTTAAGAAGGAAAGGCAAAAAGAGGAATGGAGGGATAAATAGGAGGAATGGAGGGATAAATAGGAGGGATGGACGGAGGTATAAACAGGAGGAATAGAGATAAAAATAAAAGGGGTAGAGGTTTAAGCAGGAGGATTGGGGGTATAGGAAGGAAGGGGTGGATGTGGTAAGTGGTTTTTTTTAAAACAACAACAACCCCAACAAGAACAACAACACCTACCTCCTTCCCCACCGTATCC